TGTGTGTGTGTGTGTGTGTGTGTGTGTGTGTGTGTGTGTGTGTGTGTGGCTAGCACTCAGTGTTGGGTGTCTTTATCCACTCTCTGCGTTATTTTGGGGAATAGGCTCTTTCACTGGTCTGGAGCTCACCCATCGACCAGCCTGGCTGGCCAGCAAGCCTCCACGGTCCTCTAGCTCCCCAGCACTGGGACTACAGACACATTTGCTTTTTTATCGATGTTTGTGAGACATGCAGCTGGCAGGGAGTGCCTGTTAATAAGACCTGCCCAGCTCTTCTCCCTGACAGCAGTGCTTCCAAAAATTATCAAGGTTTTCTAGGGTTCTTGGGAAGCATTAACAAGGTTTGACTTGTCTTTAAAGTTATTACAACAAGTATTTCATTCCCCTGAGAGTAAATGAAGACTAAATGACCAATGGATGAGTGTGTGTGTGTGTGTGTGTGTGTGTGCATGTGCGTGTGCACTCATGCGCATGTGCACCAGTATGCACACAAACATGTATTTTGAAAGCAATTAGAGCTAATGTGAATCTTAGTAAATTATTGTTTCTTGTACAAAGACTGCAGTTAAAATAGCTTCCAGGAGTTTGCTGTTTTATGGATGTGGATTAAAAATGCAGCTGCAGGGTATGCCTCTTCATAACAGCTGAGGAGCAAGATGTGGCCTGGAATGCTAATTACACTCTGGATTCAAAAGAAACAGTTCTGGGGTAGAATTTACTGACATCTTAAAATATTATCACATTGCCCCTCTTCTCCATCTTACATCATGGCCAAGATGAGCTGATCATCCTTGACCCCAAATCTGAAATCCAACATGACAGGTCACTTAAAGACCAATAAGACTCCACAAATAGAAAACCCACACCTGACTTCATGTGACAGGTTGCGGTCAAAAATGTAGGCACACTGACAATATCATACAAAATTACTGCTGGGCCAGGAGAGCTGGCTCGGTGGCTAAGAGTGCACAATGTACTTGCAGAGGCCCCAAATCCCATTCCCAGCACCCATGTGGGTTGGCTCACAGCTCCTTGTTAACTCCAGCTCCAGGGGATCAGATGTCTCTGGCACTGCACTCACGTGCACGCGCGCGCGCGCGCGCGCACACACACACACACACACACACAAACACACACACACACACACACACACTTGAAAATAAATAAATCTTCAAAATTTTCTTCAGGTTATGTGTATAAGAAATAAATGAATTTCATGTTTTGACTTGGGTTCCATGCCTCAAAGAGATCATTATATGGGTTCAAATATTCTCAAATTCCCCCAAATCCCAGATGCAAGCCATTGTTAGTTCCAGACATCTCGGGGAAGGATTT